GAAATGGTACCTAATCATGGAATTATTATGAAGATTAGAGGATTAATGCATGTAATGTACTTTAGAGCAATGTTGCCTGGCACACAATAAAAACTCAAATGTTAGTTGTCCCATGTCAAGCCTCCTCCACAAGGATGTAAACTCTCCAAGGGCAGGGTTTGCCTCCTCTCATTCCTGTACCCAGTAATCTACTATTCACTGGACCATAGGCTGTATTTTCTCTCTCCTAACTATGACTTTCCTCCATCCCACACCCATTCAAGACCACAGATGCCCATAACAGGATTCACTGTTAAAACTTAATTCCTAAAGAAGCTGATCAACCCCACAAAGTTCACAGAAAAGACAAGCTGTATTTTACCATAATTGTAGCAGATTAATAGGCTAGAAAACTTGTTAAATCAGAAAAGCTACTGCCCAAAAAAAGACACCACAAAAAAACTCAAAATAAATGCAAAATTTAATGGAAAAAAAAGTACAAAGTGAATGGAAAGGAACAAAAACAGTCAATGAATGAAGGAGTAAATGAATTAACACGTGAAGCAGTTTTAGAAAAGCATGTTAACATAACAGACTAGCAAGCCGCACTTCCCTCGGGGCCTCTTATCCAATAATATGAGCCCCACTTAACAGGGAACCCACATATAGACATACAAACATATATGCAGTCAGTCTGCACCATCATAAACTACCTAGGCTCAGGTTATCCCCAACTGGGATGACCATACCTCCCGGTTAGCCTGAGACAGTTCTGGCTTATGCCTGTTGAGCTGGCATGAGTCAACTCAGTTTGGACAATAAATTATACGGCGATTCCACCCAAAACTAACTTGGTTCATGAAAGACATGATAGTAAATGCCAGCATGATCCTACTGACAGCACTAATGATAACAGATGATAATGACAAAGAAAAAGAGGGGGCAAATCAGACCCTGCAGGCAGAGGTCATATTCCGTGACGGGTAGCTTGTTAAATAATGGCAAGTTTTAAGCTCACTTTGTGCACCAAGGATTAATTTGGTCTCAGCTAAAGATGACAAAATTCCAAACACAAATAGCAAAGGGAGGTGCAGTGAGGCTCACTAAAGCTGATGGGACCTGTGGAGGCAGCTCAGACCCCAGAAAGTGCAACAATGACAGGTCTCTCCAGAGATCTCCTGCAGGCAGGTAGCCAGCCACAATTTTGGCCTTCCAGTATGCCTTGGGGGCAGCCGGCAGGTGGACGGGTGGCAGAATCTGCCACCTGGAGTCCCCAGATTGGCCCGTGAAGCAGGAGTCCTCATTTCTTATATAACCAGTAAACCCACTGGGTCATGCAGCCTCATCCTCAGAAATACAGTCCACGTCTGCCTTAGGTAGGCTGGTTTACCTGTTTGGATACCCACAGTGAAGCATCAGTTATCAGTTATCAGTTACAACCAGAGGTGGATTTACTGGGAAGCTAAGAAAGTCTACTCTTCAAGGCCCCTCCCAAAGCCCCGTACCTAACTGAGTATTCATGCTCCTTTTCTTGAAGAAGCCTTCTCAACTAGTTCAAGTTTCTACCCCTCAAAATCTGGATCTACAACACTGGGAGAATTTTCACTTTGAGCATAAAACTTGCCCTGCTCCTGGTGAGCAGAGCCCCTCACATGCAAAGGCTGCCTTTTTCTAGCTGTGCCTTGGTGGGCACACAGAGCTCACCCCTCCACCCCACTCTGAATGAAACACCATCTCAGAAGGGCAGGAGGAAGCCAGGACTTGGTCCTGCAAATCAATACAGCAGGCGATGGGAGGGAAGATGGAGGGCATGAACTACCAATCCAAAATCAATCAGCGCAGCTTCCTAAGGCGCCCAGCCAGTGAGTGCACTAACCTGCTTCTCAAGGTAGGGCTTTACTCAGGGAGCCTGTGCTCTGCACAGAGCTTTATCAACATTAATGGAATCCTTTCTTTCATCTATTCGTTTCATCTCTCATTTTATCGGGCCATATTTTCAACCCTGATCCTCTTAATGGCTTGCAAACCAACAGGAACATAGAAGAATCAATGCTTCTGGTACTTCTTTAAAAATGTTTCCCCTTACAAATGTAGCTGAAAGGGGGAAAACTCCTTTCCTGGTAGTTTTTTTCTTAAACTGGCCACATATATCAGACACCTTCATCTTTTGCCCTGTGACTCAGCCAGGAAAAAGGAAACAAGGGCCTTGAGATAAAAACCTCTTCCCAGCCAAGCACTCTGGGCATCTGGCATTCGCAGGATTGGTTTGGGGGTCTTTACTGGAGTCAAACACTTAACACAAACACGTGGCGTTGGTCCCTTTTGATAGGTAGCACCTCTGGGGCACACAGACAACGGCTTTGGGCTGCTGTTCCATTTACATTCACAGTGAAAATACTGGACGTGGTCTTGTTCATGTTCCACTTTCATCCGTAAAGAAATTCCAAACACTGTCATTACAGGATGTTTATTATCCACCTCTCCCTATATATTATAGGGATACTTTATACATAAGAAAGGCTTAGAGATATTTTTAGTTTTTAAAAATCAGGGAATCTGTGTTACTTATGAAAATAATGGGAGAGGATATTATGTTTTTACGCTCGTGCCAAAATAAAAATTTAGAAGTGTTTTAAAAGTTATTATTGAAATTAAGCTCTAGGTTAGGAAAATTAAAACGAAAGGGAATTGGGCAAATTTTGCAGCATGTACACCAGACCATGCGGCCACACCCAAGGCACCGCACGAGTTGCCATCTTGACGCTGAACAACTAGGCCGAGCATCGCCGGCGGGGCCTTCGCTAGAGCGGCACATAACTGCTCCATCAAGGAATAGTGACACTGTAAATGGAAGACCAGCCACTGGCTCTGAAAAAAATAAACCTCATCAGTTTTGGATTCCAGCATTCATGGCTTTGACATGTTTGCATAGAGAGGGGTGGCCCGCCAGGCCCAGGGCAGCCTGGGGGTTGGGGCAGGGGACAGAGCAAGGCTGTAAACACTGGAGTCTGTACCGGCTCCCAGTCCGTCCTCACATCATGTTATGGGAGAAGGGTCACAAGGTGTAATTCAAGCAACTTAACACATGAAAGTCTAAAGTCCGCTCTTGACATGTAAGTCTGTGCGTGCGTTAACTGAAAAATAAAAATAAAACAAACAAAACAAAAACAGACACATTAAAAGATACGCAGACGACCAAATCAAACAGAAGCAAAAGACAGCAAGAGGGACACTGGGAAAGGGCAGTCAGTTTGGCATTTGTCACGAGCAAAGCAGATAATTCACTTCAGTTTGTGGCGTCCCAGGCCGAGGGTCAAGATCTGATTGGGAAGCCATTTTGCAAAAGTGGATTAAAATTTGAAGAATACAACCAATCAAAGCCACTCGACTAAATGGTCGTGAATACCGCCCCCCAAATGCACTCCGACTCATCCCGTTTCCCTGACCAGGGCAGGAGGAAGGGGTGCTCCTGGCTACCCCACTGACCTACTCCTGGCCTCCACAAGGTCTCTCTCCCAGAGTCCAAATTGACTGAAGCTTTCTGGCATGTCCGGCAAACAGATAAGACCTGTTTTCCAGGCCCAGGCCACAGGGGAAAAGCAGGGAGACCTGACACCAGTGGCGAGTCCCCACCCTGAAGCTGTGCGGGTGTCCTTGCAGCCACCCTGTACCCCCACCGGCCCTCAGACCCTGACCTGGCCGCAGGTCCTTGTCTTCGTTTCTAAGTGGTCTCTCCATAGCTTATTTCCTAGGGGACTCTGCCTGCCTTTTAACAAGATAGCCTGGGCCAAGCTGGCAAAGAACAGGCGAAAAGTGCTTTGGGTGCCAGCACCTGGGTCACAAACCTGAGTACCCCCTTCTAGGAAAAACCAGATTCCTGAGCTGCTAGCTGGAAATCCACATAAGTTCCAATTCACAGAGCCGTCACACTCACCAAGCCAAGAGCAGGACCTGGGACAAGGGCTGGAAGCAAATGCGAAGCAGAAGGGAAATCACATGGCTGAGGGGAAGAATGGGGCTGGGGTCCTTCCTGGGGACAGGCAGGGGCTCATCTGTCCTAGCAGAGCCAGCACTGGGATGGGGCCATCTGTCAGCAGCCACCCCACCCCCCGCCCCCAACCACAGAAAGGAGATGGGTCTGTCCCAAAGCAGAGGACAGGCCTTAGGACTGAGAACTAGCATCCCATTCCTAAATGCCTGGCTTTGTCCTCTTTGCCTCTCCCAGGGAGAAGCTCTTTACATTTCTTTTCCTTAGATGCATCTGTGCCTCTGTGCATGTGTCTGGAGACTGCGTGTTGGTAGACATGTGCCTGAGTATGTGTGTGTGATGGGACACGAGAGAGTAAAACAGTGTACATGTGCATGTATGTGTGTGCATGGGTGCATGTGTGTCAGGGAATACAATACTGGGGGCAAGGGGGAATGCTAATGCCAGAAGTAGCATCCCAGGGCCACAGCTAGCTGTGCACTGCATGGCCCTAACCACGGGGATCCACTGCCACCAAGAAAGGAAGGGCCTGGCACATACATTCTCAAGCAGTCCAGGAGGAAATGGGATCCCCCGGAGCCCAAGAACGAGGGCCAAGATGGGTAAACCTGCTTAGTTCCTAGGCTGGCAAAAAAGGAAGGTATCTGACACGAGCCAGGGGCAGGGAGACACAGGGATAGATGAGAGCCCCACGGTGTGATGTGGAAGGGACACTGAATGAAGTGGGTAGGAGAGGGACATCCCCAGAAGCCAGAGCATCTGGACTCTAGGCCAGAGTGTAGAGACAGGTGTGATTAAAGTTCCAAGGAGAAGTGACTCAGCGTTGCCCCCACCTGGCCAACATGGTGACTGACTCCTGGAGACTGAGAAAAGCCTCCTTGCCATCCCCTACCATTCTCTCTCCGTCCAGTCTACCCTCCGGAAAAACAGCTCCAACCTCTGCCTGTGGGGCAGCCTCTCTCACTAGCAGGACTCACAGAGCCCCAGCCGGGAGCTGCTGACCTTCCTCCTGCCAGGTAGTGACCATAGGGTCCAAGTAGTGACCATAGGGTCAGTGCTGGCTAGGCTCAAGTCTCAGTCACTGGCTGTCAGCCCATAGGGGTCCGATGTCCACTGCCTCAAACTGGGGGGAGCAGGGATGCACCAGTGTCCAGGCAGAAACCACAGGAGCTTTTGGAATCTGTCAAGAAATGCTGACCTCCCCAGGCCCTGTCCCTCTTCTGGCCTGAAAGACCTTCCTCGAGACCCCTGCACCCTCTCAGGGGCCACTCCATGCCTGTGTGGCCCAGCCTTCACCGCCCCAGCTGAAGAGGTGAGAGAGAGTGAGAGAGAGCGAGAGAGAGTGAGAGAGCGAGAGAGAGAGAGGGAGAGAGAGCGAGAGAGAGGGAGAGAGCGAGAGAGAGAGAGAGGGAGAGAGAGAGGGAGAACTAGGCCGAGCATCGCCGGCAGGAAGGGAGGGAGAGAAGGAGGGAGGAAGGGAGGAAGGGAGGGAGAGGATCCTGAGATATCTAGATCACTAGTGAAAGAAAAAGAAAGGTGAGCAAGAACAAGGTGAAAGGACCAGTGAATATAAGAGAGAAATAGTAAACAAGTGACAGCGAGCGAGAGCAAACGTCGAAGTGAAGGAGCAGAGAGGGGGACAGAGTGAGCACTTAGGAGAGAGCAAGAGGCAGCGCAGGGCAGGGAGCCCACCACCTACTTCTTCTTGTCCTTGTCCTTCCTCAGAGGCTGCTGCAGGGTGGCGTGCAAGGCCTGAGACTGCAGGGCCTCCACCGCGGCCTTCCTGCGGTTGAAGGCGTTGGTCTCCTCCTCCAGCTCCCGGCGCTTTTCCTCTACCTTGCGCTTCTCCTCCTGGTGGATCCGCTTGAGGTGCTCAAACTTCTCGTGGAGCTGGGAGCAGAAGGGGGCAGCCCAGGCTTCCATGTAGGCCGGGAAGTTGCCAGGCCCTCCTGCCGCCTGGCCAGACTCTGGCCTCGCCACAGCCCCCAGCCCCCAACTCACCTCCCTTTCCTTCTCCTTCAGCTCCAGCTCTGTCTCCTTCACTTTATTGATGAACATCTGCCTCATCTCTTCCTCCTTCCTCTGCAGCTCACTCAGGAACTCCTTCCTCTTAGCCTCGTAGGTCTCCTGCAGACTGTGGAGATGCAGAGAAAAGAGGCCCAGGGTGGGGTTATGGTGGAATGGGGTAGGCAGAGCCAGAGAGGCAGAATCACTGGGCACAGGAGGGTGCTGGGGTCCTGACAGCCTCACTCCATGGCTCATAAAACCCCAGAAGCAGACGGCAGTGTGGCGAGGCTGGCTCAGGCTGGGGAGACAGGCTCGCTCCGTGAGCAGGCTGTCACCTAAAGGGCTGGCTGTCCCCATCGCTGTCCTGGAAGCCCATTTCCTCCAACTTGCAGCGCCGGTAGAGCTCATAGTGCCGACTGTGGGTCTGCTCGCGGAGGTCCTCCATGTTGACCCGGATCAGCATCTCCCTCAGCTTCACGAAGTCGCAGTGATTCTCATTCTCCACTGCAGGCAGAGGGCACACGGGCCGTCAGGCAGGCACACAGGCGGGCACGGGAGGACAGGGCGCAGGACAGCAGCCAGAGGGTTAGCAGCACACTCCAAAGGCAGGAGGCAACAAAGGGCCACAGGGACGACGACGCGGGGCAGCGGTGAACAGGCAGCAAGGCAGGACAGGAGACTAAGCGTGGGCCCCGAGCTGGGGCTGTGCTCTCCCCACCGCACTCACCCTGCACCACTCCCCATGGGTACTGCCGTGCTCGGACCAGTTTGTTCCCCACCTTCACCTCCTCGGCGCTGCCCACCACAGCAAAGGGCAGGTGTGCCTAGAAAGGGGCCAGAGGACGCGTGAGCCCTGGGCTGAATGAGGCGTGGCCAGATGCTCACTTCCCGGCTCTCTTCATGTTCTAGGGTGTTCTTTCAGCCCTCGGGCTCCCCAGGGGCCATTAGAAGTTCCCTCAAAGGACCTGTGGGCCTGACTCTCCTCTTCCTAGCCCTGGCATCCCGTCTGCTCACCCCCACAGGTTTCAGGTCCCCGCCCTGACTCTCTATCTTGTGAAACTCAAATGTGGGAAGCCCCATAACCAGCCCAATACCCGACTCCTCCTGTCCCTTGTCTATAGGACACAGGACCAGCTGGCTTCCAGATGCCCACCCATCTTTCCTGGAGAAACTAAGGCCGGATCCTAGGGAACAAGAGTCTCCCGGGGCTGTCAGAGATCTGTGCTGGCTGCCAGCCATCTGGCCCCAGGGGCCTGAGGCCCTTGCCCAACGCTCACATTCATGACTGCGTTAATCTCTGCGACAGCCTCGTCATCAGTGGGGAACTGGTAGATCTGGACCCCATTGCTGACCAGCTCGCCCATGATCTTGATCTTGAACTTGTGGAGCTCACTCTTGGAGATGGTGTCAGCCTTGGCAATGATGGGAATAATGTTCACCTGCCAGGATCAGGGGAGAAGGGGCAGCAGGTTAGTGGCTCTCTGATGGTGGACAGCCCTGCCCAGGCCACATCTCTAGGCAGGGGGCAGGAAGGGAGCTGTTCCCATGAGGAGTCCCAGCCTGAACTCAGCCACCTGGGGCTGATGGATTGTAACAACCAGTGGCAGCATGTCTTACAGCCCTGGTTCCCTCAGACCACCATCCAGTCCCCAAATTAGTCCTTTGGGCATACCCAGCTTTGACCTAGAGTGCTCTAGAGGTCCTAACCAGCCTTGGGCTTGACACAAGCAGTGGCGGGGGACTGAACTCCCACCTAAGCAGGTAAGATGACCTACCAGCAGCAGCCACAAGAAGATTTAGAAATCTCCCAGGCTAAGGCTGCCCCATTTTTCACAGTGAAAATTAACTCCTGAGATGGGGAGGGCAATCACGAGAGCAGACAGGTGACGGTGGGGTCACATGCCCTCCAGGACCCCAAGCCTTTCTTGCCATCCCCATGAAGCTGTCTTCTCAGTCTCCACGCCTCACACGCATTCCCGGTTCTGGGCCTTAAGTCCCCTCTCCTCCGTGGGTGCAGGAGGACCCAAGGGAAATTCACAGCGGGAAGGACAGAACAAGGGAAGGGAGTGGAGGAACTAGGAATTGAGAGAGAGAGAATGAGCAGAGAATTGGGACGCTCTGGGGAGAGAGTTAAAGGGTCGGCAGAGGGAGGAGGCAACTCTAGGGGGAGGGGAAGGAAGCTAGGAGCCAGAGGGCTGAGAATAAGAATTCAGCTGGAAGAAAGCGGCTCAGGGCCAGACCCAGGAGACAGAGCTCTGGTGAAAAAGCCCTGAGCAGTGGGGGATCCCACTAGTGCAGTAGAGACAGAGATCCCACTAGTGCAGTGGATCCCACTAGTGCAGTGGATCCCACTAGTGCAGTGGATCCCACTAGTGCAGTAGAGACAGAGAAGAGAGAGAGGACCAAGCCAAGAGGCCTATCAGCACGCCAGTGACCAGTAAGCCCCTGGACACCACAGTGGATGATCACACTGCACCCCACTCCAATGGAGGCCTCGGAGCGTATGAACAGTGTGGGGCACACCTTGCTGTCCAGTTTCTTCATGGTCACCAGATCCAGGGACTTGAGAGAGTGCCCAGTAGGCGTGATAAAGTACAAGCACACATGGATCCTCGTGTCGTGGTAGTCGAACAGCGAGCGGCGGATCTTCAGTTCCTCCTGCAGATAGTTTTCAAACTGCGCGTCGATGTAGTCGACTATGGGCCTGTAACTACAGACAGCCCCATCACCTAGGAGGCGGGCCTCTGAGCCAAGCCCCCTGCAGGCCCTCTCTCCCTAGAGACAAACAGCCTAGGGATCCCTGTCTAAGTACAAGGGCTGACTCCTTCCCCTCAGGACCTCAGATATTCCCCGACAGGCCCTCCCCAGCCCCACAGAGTATGGGACTTGGTCATTCATATGGGGACAGCTGGGAGTGAGGAGTGCTCAGGCAGAGGGTCAGAACCAAGGCCCACATGGGTGGGGTGTGGATGAGACTGGGCAGGGCCGCCCTTCCCGCCTCTTGCCTCTCATCCTTGTTGATCTGATCCCCGAAGCCCACAGCGTCCACAATGGTCAGCTTGAGATGTACATTGCTCTCTTGGAGGTCATAGGTCTGGGGCCGCAGGCGCACGCACTCTTCATGGTGGCTGGCTTCCTCAGTCTCGAAGGTTGTATTGAAGAGCGTGTTCATCAGTGTGGACTTGCCGATGCCAGTTTCCCCTGGGGAGCAGGGAGGAGAGGGGAGGGGATGTCAGAGGCTGGACCTGGGGCTGTCCCTGGCTGTTGGCTAGGCTGGGTGGGGCTGAGGAATGCTCAGCCTCCACAGAAGGGAGAGAGGTGGGCCTCCCACTGCATCCCTCACTGTCCCTGTCCCCAAGAGCCATCCCTTCGCAGTGACTTCAGAAATAATCTGTGGAAGAAAGAGGCAAAAGGCTGACTTGGACATGAGATGAGACATGTAAGATGTTTTTCAGTGCAGGGGGAGAGGCAGAGCTGGGCAGCTGAGAGACACCAGGATATTGGCCTCTACTGACCTCAGTGGAACCCAATCACTTGCTCTGCATACCATCCCTTCCAGCCTGGGATGGCCATGGACCAGAAGGGCCAGAGTCTGAAGCTACCAAAAGCTTGGCCCAGCTGCCCAGGGTGGCCCCAGCTCCATATAGCTTGAACCAGGGGGTTAGGAATGGCTGCTTCCCAAGGGACACCCACAGCCTGGCAGATACTAAGGCTTGGGCACCTGTGGAGGGTCTGGCCAAACTCTGTGCCTCTGGGACCCGCAGGCCCTGAGAGGCACATGGAACCTCCCAGGCCTCCCGGTTTGCAGCTGTGTCTGTTCAGATGTATGCAGGCACTCTTACTACATGACACTGTAATGGAGGAAGAGCCTTGTTTGCCATAGTGTCCTAGACACACAATAGGAACAACCGTCAATGTGTTCTAAACAAACAACCTAAACTTCTGTGATGAACACTCTCAGTTTACAAAGCACTTTCACGTGCCTAATACTATCTACTCTTCACAGCAACTATGAGTCAGGGCCTGGCTCCAACTGTGTCCTTGACCCTGGCAGAGATGCCACCCAAATCCTAGTCCTGACCGCCCAAAGTGTCCCTGTGCCTGGGAGGTCCCCCTGCAGCTTGACAGGTGGCCAGCACTCCATCTCCCAGAAGGCCCTCATCCATCATCTGTCTGAGGCCACCCCCTGGTCAGGCCATGAACTCACCCACACAGAGGATGTTGAAGCTGAAGCCCTGAGTGACCGACTTGCTGACCAGCTGATCAGGGAGGCTGTCGAAGCCCACATGGCCGCCCAGAGAGAGGCTCCGGGGCTCTGGCTCTCCATTCTGCTAAGAGAGAAATACAGCGAGGCAGTGAGCTCACTGGGGAAGAGAGGACAAGCTGGGGGGAGGCTAAACCTGAGTCAACTTCCCCATATGAATTCTCAACAAATGTCAGAACACAACGTAAAGACACCAGAGCTCCAATTCCAGGCCAGGTTTCCACAGAGAGAGCCTGGTGGGCCTCGAGGCCCCTGTCTCCATCTGGGAAAAGGCCCTGTCACCTGTGGTCTGCTCCATCTGAGTAGGCAAAGGATGCTGGGGCCTGGGGCATCTCCTGGCTGCTATCCCTGAGGGCTCACCTGTCCTCCTGCCCAGGAAAAGGCCCCAGATGGTCCCTGGATCTTAAGATTCCATGAGGCCAAGACAGGAGAATGTATATGTTCCTGGGGCTCCCTCCCAGACCTCACAGGCCCTTCTATTAAAGTGAGATTTAAGCAGAGGCGGGTGTGGCCCAACCCCCTCACTCGAGCTCTGTCAGGGAACCTCCCCCATCGGGCCGGGCTCAGGTCTTCCATGTGCACCCCTTACTCCTCATGTACCCAAGCATGGAATGCAAACAGGGGCCCTCCTAAAGAGGTCAGTGCTCACTCAGACCCACCACTGGGTCACAGAGCCAGTCTCTGAGGCATCATGACTCTGAAGTTTCCTCCCTCCTGCCTCAGTGGCGCTCCCTAGCGATCCGCAGCCTCTGGCTCATGCCACCCTCCCATCCCACCCCAACCCTGGTTGTTTAGACAGAGGATTCAAGATGAAAATGTGGATACCTGGCCTTAGCAGAGAGGCGGGCAGCAGGTCCCGAGGGAGCTGGGGCCACTGGAGCTGGCCCACAGTGCTATAAAAAGTAACTACCAGGACCCGAAGCAGAGGATCAAGGTCAGACTTCAATTCGTGTGGCTTCCCTGGGAATGGGGGTAAAATGCTGTCCTCTGAGGAAAAGTTCCCAGGCTCAGCATTCCCAGGTCTGGCCCCTCTGAAGGGCAGCCCCCAGACAGCTCCATGTTGGGCAGAAACATGCCTCCTCCTTGCCCTGACCGTCCGCAAGAAAGAGCAAGGACAGGAAAGGGCAGTGGGTCTGAGTCCCATCCTGCCCTCCTGCCCGCAATGCCAAAGGGGAGGAAACAGGCCCAACTGAAGACAGCCCCAAGAACTACTGATTAGGACAGTAGCAGCCCTTATGCCAATGCAGATACAGGCACAGAGGTAGAGGGGGCTCAGAACCAGACAGTAGGGCCCTGGCTCCCCACCCTCCAGCAGAAGGGTCCCCTTGACCCCTACTGCCTCAGGCTGAACCCCTCCAACTATTCCCTTCTCCCAACCAGAGCCCTGGCACTCATACCCAGCCTCCTCTTTTCCACTAATTTTGCCTGCCCCACCCAACCCCACCCCAGCTCCATCCCTGTACCCTGCATCAACGACACCCAAGTGTATGTATTGACAGGCTGAATCCCATGTAGCATCTCTGGGCAGTTTTACTATCCCCTGAAACAAGTAAGGGTTACCCCTAAACCTCCTCTCTCCAATGACCCTCTCTCAGCTGAGCCTCTGTTCCTATAGTTGACCTTCCCTCTCTATTCCCTGTGCCCAGTGGATCATGTCACAGCCTCCCCACTCAAGCCCAGGTCCCCCCAGGGCTGCAAATATAACCTGACAAAGAGGCCCCAGAGGCAGATCCCTCTCACTGGTACCCACATGAAATACCATAACTGGAGCATAGGATTTGCTGGGCTAGGCCCAAACTCCTAGCATGGCATTCCAGGCCTTTCACGGTCCAAGGCCTTCCTTATGTGCTCAGTGCCCACCCGGCTGGTTACCTCTGAATTCACTTTTCACACTCGGCCCCTTCCCTGGGATCCAGAGCTCACCCTATCTTTTCCCTGGCACCTGCTCTGATCTGGCCCGTATCTGCTTACATTCGAAACCCCTCACTTGGCAGGGACCCATTTCCTTGCACTATTAGTTGATCTTTTTTCATTCATCCTGGTTCTCCATCTCCTCCACAAGCTCCTCAAAGTTGGCTGCAGGCTCGGGGAGGTCAGGTTTTCCATTCTTCCCACCCTCCCACCACGATGCCCAACGTGCTAGCCAACACTACCATTTATAAATCACGAAACACCATCCTCAGCTGCTACAGCACCAGGGCTGTCTGCCCACCTCACATAGAGCTTCACTATTTAGTCTCTGTCGCACCTGCTCGGGGCAGCCTGAGATCAAATAGAGGACAGAACAGCTAGTCTGGAGCTTTTTTCTTTTCAGGCCAGACTGAAAATCTCCAAAATTTAAGGCATGCTGTGCTTGCAGAGAAGGCGATGTGTTTATTCACCCCCTTCTTCCAAGGGTGACACAATCAGGATGCAATCCAACATCCTGTAGTCTGCCGCCAAAACCCACCCAGTCCGCCATGTCTGGAGACCACAGGCGCAGGCACACACTCTGCTGCAGAGGCACCTGCACAGAATCAGAGGCCGTCCTGCTCCTGAGGAGCCCGCCCCCACTTTCTTACAGTTCCAGGCTCCAGAAGCTAAAAGCGGGGGTGGGGGAGTCTCACATGAGCCATCTCTCCACACTCCCTGCCTGCCTTCACTCACACAGTGTGACGCTCACTGAGGACATGTGTGGATTACAGGGAGGTCTTCATCCTCAAGTTGTTGCCCAGGCTGCACTCTGTCACTCCCGTGGCCCTAGCTCTGGGGCAATCAGGGGCCACGGGAGTGTCAGTCTCCAGAACATGCATGTACACACACACGTACATACACAGAGAAGAATGGCCACTGGCCCTGATGGGGACAGAGTGTTTGTTGTTCCCTGGTCTTAGAAGACTCATCTGACCTCCCTGCTCTACTGAGTCACTAATGCCAAGCTCTCTGATCCTCTATTTGGCCTCAATAACATCTGATCCAAGGTGCATTGCTTGCTCCAAGGTGCCCACCCCAGGTGTCTCTGCTGACCGCATAGGGTCCCCATCTAGGAGGAGCCAGCCACCTCCAAAAGCATCACTGACATGTCTCAGCTACCACAACTTAGAAAGAACCTTCATGTCTCTCACTACCTGACTACCAGCCCTGCAATTAGCCAGGTAAGACCACAGTCCCAGCACTGGAGGTGGGTCCTAACTGTCCTGAGCCATAACTGGGTCAGGTACAGGTGCATGGCACAGGTTCAGCCTTTATGACCATCTTGTGACCATTAGGGGAGCTGGCCTAAGGCCAAAGCCCACTCGGAGGGCAGCAGAGCCAAGAGAATCACAGAGAAGAGAGAGCCAGTGTCTGCTCTACCTCCGGGCCTTTCCCTTGAGCCCTGGCCATATCCTGAGTGGGGCTGTTTCTTGCAACTGAAGGCACCTTGGCTGCTACAGTCTCAAAAGGTAAATTCTTTAAATGCAGAAAACCAGGGAGAGAGCAGGGAAAGGATAAGGAAGGAACAGATATCAAAGGGTGGCACTATCACCTCGCTGAGGGCCACCTGTGCCAACGAAGCCAAGCGATCTAGTCATCTACGTACTCCTTCCCCACCCTGTGTGGCAGACGTCATGATCATCCCCATTTTACAGGTGAAGAAACAGGTGCACAGAAGCTGGAGAACTAATCAGGCCAGAGCGGGGATTTGAGAGCAGCCACGCCCTTGCCCCAGACCACTCTGTCCCTCCTCTATACTGCCTCTCCTGCTCTTACAAGGCTCCCAACTCACTCATTCAGCCATTCAACACACACTCACTGGGCATGTCTGCTGTGTGCTGGACACTAGGATGGCTGCCAACGAAAAGAAGAGGAAACCAGATCCTTACTTTGGGGGCTCAGTCACATTTGGTCTAAACTCAAAAAGTTGTGGAGGCCAGGCAGGTAATGTGACTGGGTAAAGGGGAACAGTATAGTAACAGCAGCAATAATAGCTAACAGTCATGGAGTGCTTACTGTGCAAAACTCTAATCTCATTTAGTCCACACACTGGCCCCAGGAGGTAGACTGTAACAGTATCTCCACTGCACAGATGAGACAATTGAGGCACCAAGAGATTAAATGACTTGCCCAAGACCACACTGCTCAGGAGGGAGCACCCAGGATCTAAATGGAGATGGTAAGACTGCAAAACCCGTGCTCCCAGCCACATCACTCTACAACCTGCTCGATGAAAGAGCAGCTGACTTGGCTGAGTGCGGGTCCCTCAGGGAGAGGTAGGAACAGTAGGCAGCTGCAGAGCCTGTGCTCAGTCCACGATGCCCACAGTTCTGTGACTCCAGCCAACTGTGGGAATGCTGACCTCGTTTTGCCAAATCTTCCAATTTTTCAAAAGAATCTAGAAATCTAGATTGTTAAGTGAAACTCCTTAATTTTTAAAGGTTAGAAACTAATACAAATTGAGAATAACACAACATGTCTGGGGGTTGGACCCAGCCCATGGCCTGACAGTCTACATCGCCCCAGGTCTGTAAGGGAGGCCCCAGACAACACAGCAGGGCTCCACTCTTGGGCCACGGAGGCCCACAGGAGACTGCCCCATGGGAGGAGGCTTTGGGACCCTGGTGAGAGACACAGACCCAACAGCTTCTGGCCCTCTCACACATCCAGCTTCCTGGGGTGCTGGCTCAGGGGAATCTAACTGTCCTCAAAGCTCCAGGTCAGAGAGTTGGAAGCTCTGAGCTCCACACACACACACAGTGGGAAACTCCACAGGGCCATTATCCCCTCTCTAATCACTAACAAGCTTTTGGCTCCTGAGCTAGGCTCCAGGCTTCTATGTCATCATTTCTTTGGCACATCAAAGACAACAACCAAAATAATAACTGCTCAGGCCAGCTGCATTCCTCCATGCCCAGCCGTCCAGAACAAAGTGGAGAATGGCATTTTGTTATGCGGCCCAGTGGATAACTAGGACGTCCTTTTCCTGACCAGGAAATGCTCTGTCTGAGCCTCCTGGAGCAGCCTTGATTAGCAGCCCAGAGGAGCTGCCCCTTGGACCAAGAAGAGAGGTAGGATTTGGGGAAAAACTGTGTCTCACTGCTT